ACATACAGATATGCCAAAATAATCACAAAATCAGTTGATTTTTATGTATTTTATTATAAAATAATAATCTGTGATATATATGATGAACATTATGCATAACAAAAGTTAACTGAATAACAAATAGCTTTGCATCAAAGGTCTAATTGATTATTCAAATTAGTGAAACTTAAAAGGCAGACTTAGGACTGGTTTCTGCTTGTGAAGTGGTTAAAATTGTGTCTAAGGTGAGCTAAGTTTGTCTGATAAGTTTATTGTGATGTAGGTTCCCCAGAAAGGCATTGAAAAGTCTCTGTCCTACCAGGATGAGATGGTCAGAGCATGGTTCCGACAGCTGCTTAAATGGTACCAGCCTCAGAATGTTCCTGTTAACTGAGAGGCTGAAGTCTCCTCAAAGTTCACCTGTCATTGTTAAAGGGCCAAAGGTCCGTATGGTCGTCAGCAGGGATTTACCACTCTGCTGTGTGATGGTTGCCTGATAGACAGCTTTCAGGTCAATTCCTGGTTCTGGTTCTGGTTCAGCTGGGTTTCTTCTCTCGCCAGTTCTCTCTGCAGAAGCGTATCTCTCTGGAGTTATCTCTTCAAAGATCCAGTGAAGACGGAGCGTCTCCCAAGCGTGTGTTTTCTACCAAGTTTTTCTTAAAAAAGCGAAACTTACTGTTGTGCTAAAACAGAGCTGATGGTCCACCTCTCAGAGAGGTGGTCCTAACTTTTGGCCTATTAAATAAATCTAGAATCCCTTTTCTCTGCCTTAAAAGTTTCCCTTTTAATAGAGAAAAAAAAGTTTTATCGTAAAGAAAGTTTACTTAAAACACACATTTTCATGAATAAACATTCAGGTATGACACATTTAGGATTAAACTTAAAACATACAATGTTTTACCAAAGGTGTCGCTGTCCATCTCCTGAAAAGGAATGTCATTAAACAAAGGGTGTTATTCAAAAAGCGTTCAATACAAAAACAACTGGACTTTATTTGTAACAGAAGACGTTTCGCTCCTCATCCGAGGAGCTTTCTCAAGTCAAAGAGCAGAGAGTGAGAGATACAGGTTATAAGGCTGAGTGAGATAAGACACACACACACATAAGACACACACACACATATATGTAGATTGGCAGTTCACACCTGAAAACCTAAACAGTAGGTCTT